CCGTCTATAGCTTGTTTACTTTTGTCAGTCCACGGTCAAATGGCATTAAAACAAATCACTCTGTTCAACTTCTTTGGGTTTTGCATGTGACTCAAAATGTTGGATGACAAACAGAATGTAAAAGTACTTGGAACAAAAAAGAATGGTTTCTATCTCCAACTACTTGTTCTAAATCAAAAGATATATATGACTTATTGGCACATAATAGTTTGTAAGGGTGTTTCATTAACTGGTTAAGACCGATGGCGCCAGCAACTTTTTGTCGGCTGGATATTTGATAAGAGATTTATTACTGATGATAATTGCCATTCAGTTTTTAGTAAATCCAAATCTATGATATTTATCAATAGTTAAAAAGCACTTAACCAGTGTGAAGAAACTATCCAAGACGGAAAGCCTTATTCAGGAGAAAAAGTGTTGTCTTAAACAGGTGGACAGCTTGTACAGTCTTCTTTCACGTATAAAATAATGGGAGTTATTTGTTGCAAAGGAGTGAGTGGAAGGAAGTGGTCGTTTGTACAAGTCTTTGTCTAGGACAGTTGGTCGTTAGAGCAGGTGAGGCTGTTTTAGAATAAAGAAAGCAGTGTTATCGATAAACAGTTAACTTTGGCTTTGTATAGTCGTAAGAGGTGCAAACATGTCCTTAAGCAGAGTAAAAAAAACAAGCAAACAAAGAACAGAGAACTGACCGAGCTTTTGACCAGGACTTGAGCGTCACTTGATAAGGCAGGATCTCCGTTGTCAGTTGCGCGAACTGTAAAGGTCACCTCCCCGGAGGTCAAGGAAGAGACAAGAGTTATCTGCCCCGTGTGGGCGTCAATGGCGAACTTATCTGTCCCGTTTCTCAAAGAGTATGTGACCATTCCGTTATCTCCCATGTCACCATCTGTCGCACTGACCTGAGAAAGAGAAGTTATTTGACCTGAGTTCCTGAAGTGAGTAGGAATGGAGATGTGAACACATTATCCTATTTCATGGAAGGTGCTTAAATGATCATGCTCAATCATAAAATATTGATTATATTATAGTATCAAATCTGTTGAAATTGTACTTTCCAAATCTCAGTTTCAACTCTTAGGTTTACAAAACGAAAATACTTTCCTCATCAATACACCTTTTAAAAAAATGGGTGAAACTGAAAAGGTATTTGCTTTTCATGGCCTAAAAATCTGGAACATATTGCCTGGTCATATAAGAGAGATCAAAACCGTTTAATTCAATTAGAATTCAGCTCAATTCATGCTTGTTCCTTTATCAAAGAGACATAAATATTATGCAAATTGTTTAAGAGCAACAGCAGCAGCAGCCGCAGGAGCAGTAGTTAATTTAGTTTTGGCAGAGGTTTTACGGCGCTCGCAACTGCATAAGGTTATATGAGCGCCAGAAGATTAGAGGTGTTACAATAGAGTAACTAACAT